ATTTCCCTGCCCCATCTTTGTTGCTTTGTGATGTGTTCTGAATGGCTATATAAAACTGTAATAGCTGAGTAATGATTTTCTGTTAAACTATAAACCAGATAGCTCAAAGGTAAGAAACTGGCTTGAAGCATGATTATATATGATGTGCATATATACATCTGGGTTAAAATCCATGGATGGATACATCAGTTTCCATATACATAAGTATTAGTTGAAACTGCATAATATGTAGTGCAGTATAATCTAATAGCATTTGAAAAACACTATATACACACACACACACACACACACGTATACACATGGGTAACTGCAAAATTACTTTGACTACCATCTTCCTCTAGTTAGGGATACCATAACCAGTTGCAAAAGTATGGATGACCATTAGATGGCAGCAAAGAGTCAGGGTTTTCCTATTACTTTGGTGTCATCTAGTGGATGTCAGGCTTTTTGCATTTCAGAGGTGGTAACCATTACTCTTGATAATTTCAAACTGATAGAAAAATTTAGCAGTTCCAGAGAACCACCATCATTGGCAAAGAAGGTATTGTTGATATTGATACCTGAAAGAACTTCTAAAAAATCCTGAAAATCTTAATACTTGAATAATTGTCATTGAATTCATCCTTTTTTTTTTTTTAAGCTAACATAGATTTTAAAAATCAGCTCCATTCCATCATAACTTTTAGCTGTCACTCCTCAGGTTTATTCAAAGTGAGATGATGGTCTACTGAGGATAAATTTAAAAACAAAGTAGTGTACTCTCTCTTATCTAAGCAATGTATAAAAACAACTTCAGAGAATTTTGAATTGCAAATACAAAAAGTTGATTCTCTGCTATTTCTTAAAGTACAGTATTTAATCAAATATTTTCCCTACATCTCGGAGTAGCAAGTGTTAATTGCAATTTGAAGTTGATGTAGGAAGAAAAGATACATTTCTTCTTCATAATATAGCATTCACATAGTGGTTTTGTCATGTAAGCTAGAAGCAAATCTGCAAAAAGCAGGCTTAACTGTATCAATTTGCCATAATTTTATAATGCACTTGTGTAACACTCTAGTACTGTTATAGCTTATTGGTGAAAAACATATACTGTTAGGCAGGAGGCTCTAGGTATACAGAATAACAAGAATTTATTTAAGTGAGTAATGACTATAACTATAGTTATGTAACTATTATATAGAGTTATAGCTTTTCTTTATACATTGTTTTCTTTTCTTTCCCCCACCAATCATGTAGCATGTTAATGTTAGTGATGGCAATTATAATGTTGTATCTGTCCAGGACCATTTGGACAGCCTTTCTAACTTACTGATACAGACTTTATTAAAAAGTAGATTTTAAAATTTACATTTTCATTTATGCTAACTGAATTGAAGAAATTCAGTTATTAGATGGCTGGGCGGGGGAAATCAGTTGTTGGAGATATGTTCACATAATAATCACTACAGGAGTCTTGGATCCAAAAAGATTTTATCCTATATATTACCAGACCATCCACTAAGGAAGATCATGCAATCCTATTCATATTATATTATGAATATTTAGAACTCTGTCATCTAAAAAGAATACAGGCATTCTTCTCATTTTAAAAAAAACCTTATTTAGACTGCTTGATAGCTTTGGATTTAAAGAGCTTGATATGTTCTTAATTAAAATAATCTTGTGTAGCTTAGATGTGTGACGTGGACCCACATGGGTCAGTGATCCATGCATCACTCCTGCCTATTCAGTTTAACATGCTGCACAACAAAATGCCAGCATCATTCCCCCACCAAGAATGAGTGGAATCTGCATCAAAAGTATTCCTAGTACCTAAAAATTGTGAGTGGCTGTAGCTATTTGTGCTTCATTTGGAAGTATATCCATGTATCCAGAAAAAGATAAGCTGAGTGATAAAGAGTTCGTCAGAGGGAGCCATTGAGGAAGACAGGAATAAATTCACCAGTTTGCCTTCTGAAAAAGCAATCTACAGTTACTGCCTAAGCCCTTCATTTTGTACAAGTGTCCATGATATTTTCTCAAATGTATGTCATATAAAATTATATCCTTTTGCTTGGATTTATTATGCAGTATGTCTAAAGTGAGGCAGTCATAAATTCTAATTTAAGTAGTCCAGAAGATAAAAATGCTATCTAACCAAAGATTATGGTTTATTTTTCTAAGATGTACAGTACAAATAATTTTACTATAGCAGCCAATTAATAAATGTGCAAATGGATTTGAAATCTGAATCTGTCCACTCTGCTGATATATACAATAGGAATATGAAAGCACTATTGACTGTCCCTTGTTTATGGCAATCAGATTTTTTTTCATAAATGTGAAATTTCTAGATACAGATTATGTCTAAATATTGCTTTGTAAAGGGTTACACTCATAACCTAAGGCAATGCAAATGGATTCCTAGTTACATGTCATTACACTGATTGATAATAACCCATTAGATAAGCCCATGCTTCTGCATTGTGAGAATGTAAAAAGCTATTAGTCTAGCACACCTATATTGTCTTGATAATATGATCTTATTTATATTTCATTTATATATCAAATTTTTCACTGCCTGTCTCGTTAAAAAAAACGACTGGGCAGTTTACAGAAAAGATAAATATTAATTAAAAATACAATATAATAATTTAATAATTTATCCTAGATATTAAGCATCTTCCAAGATAATTGATGGTAACTAAAAGAGAGAGAACATCATCAGGGAGTCAGCCACCCCCAGGGTTGGTTAAAACTTTTTTTTTTTTGCCCCACAAAAGCTGGCAGAACCAGAAAGCTGGAAGGAAAGGGGCCAGTCTCACTTCTGGGGGGAGAATATTCCAGAGGGTGAGGCAACAGCAGAGAAGGCTCTCCTCCTGGGCCCCGCTAGCCAACATTCTCTTGCTAACGGGGTCCGCAGTATACCCTCTCTGCCTGACCAGGTGGGACAGGTCGATGTAACGGGGGTGAGATGGTCCCTCAGGTAGCCTGGACCCATGCTATGTAGGGCTTTAAAGGTGATAACCAACACCTTGAATGGGACCTGGAAGCAAACTGGGACCCAATGCAGTTCTCACAGCAAAGGTGTTATATGTGCCATCCTTGGGGCACCCAGGATTGTCTGCATGGCCACATTTTGCACCAGCTGTAGCTTCCAGATACTCTTCAAGCCATAGTTAAGCTTCTCAGATCATTTTAAAACTGCAGAAGGAGCTGTTGCTGCACTAAAAGTGAAGTACTCAGCAAGTTTTAGTTGCATGTATATGTTTCACTAATTTACTTTCAAGGAGAGAATAACTATTAGGCATATCTTACCAGTAACTTGTTGAACAATTTTACTTTTCTGAGTAGGTTGGCAGATCCACTCCATAAACTTCACAAAAACATAGGGACCAAAGTATTTAGTGAAGATAAAGACCTGGGGATATTGTAATAATCTGTTATGTTTTCAGGAACTGTAGCAACAATTGTATGTTTTAATATTACACCAGAAGAAACTTAGCATATTCTTAAATAATACAAGTTCTCTTCTTAAAAGAATATTATATCTCAGAAAACGTTGTGAGGAACAGCTTATTAAATTCATGCATTGTGTTCTGTTTCAGTTCTGTGAAACAAGTCTAAACAGTTATAATGAAAGTAAAGAATTTGTAGATGCTGAGAAAAATATAAATCAAACTGTTTTGTTATAAATGATAAATGACAAAATGTTGAATCCTTTTTGAGTGTTACATTTTGACTTTCTGCATAACAGTTTTTGTAGCATGAAGTATTGTACCTGTTGGCTGCCAGTTGTAAGAAACTGCTTGTGATTTTCATTTGGCTTCTGCAGAGGTGCTAGAACTAATTGCTCCCAGTAATGAAGAGGAAGGAGTATTTCTGAATCTCCAACAGGATTGATAACGTGTATTTTACATAGGAGGAGTATTCTAGTTGGCAAGTGTGCTTCCTCACAATATGAAAATCCCTGTTATATTGCCTTTCTCCATATTGTAGAAAATCTTTGTACAGAGATGCACTTTTCAACATTTTAAATTAACTTGTGGCTGAAACCATGTTATGACAAAACAGCTTCTGTTATAAAAGATTTTTTGAACATTATTCAGATTAAAGCATAATTCTGTGGATGAAATGCTATGAATTTCTATGGCAGTAGAAAAAAGAGCTGGCCTCTTACCTTACAAAAGCTCTGGATTACTTAATATATCTGAGCTTTGAATACTGTCTGACCTATCTGGAATGTTGTCATTTTTCTCCTTATGTATAGGCATCATTATGTTTGTATGTGACTTTGTCAAGTTAATAACACAGTGCTATGCTAAGCCCCATTAATTGTTTTTCTGTGCCTTTCTTGCTTGGATCGAAACATGAAATACTTTAGTAGTTGATGCATAGAACTGGAAATAGTTGTAATAGTTTTGGGCTTAAAAACATGGGGCAGTTGCAGTCATTTAGTCTAGGCTTTTAAATGTCTAGGTTAAAACCTTGCACCCTGATTTTGATACTTGTGAATGCCTATAAAGGATTTGGATGATCAATAATTATAATATAAATAATTGAATATGTTTGGAGGTGATGCTATATAACCCTCATAGTAACCAAAGGAACCATTTTTTATTAGATTCTGTGAACTGGTAAACTCTTCTAGATTTCTAGAGCTATTTGAAATAAGCATGCTTAATGCTATGTTCATTTCAGTAATCTAAAGGTAGTATGTGCTCCAATATGGGTTCACGCATCACGCTAAGTTACACATTACAGCTTATCACAATGTTTGATTCTAGTCTCCGTATTATATTTGTTTCATGGTATCTATTCTGTTGTGAAATAACTTGGGGACTTCATGAGAAAAGGTAGTATTTCTAAATTAAAAAGATTCTTGAGAACGAAAAAAAAATTGAATGCTTAGAGCTCTCCCTTTCCCACAGAGATAGGCATGTCCAGTACTGTGGCCTGAACGTAGCTTCTTTTGTGTTTTACAGTGCTGTGATTTCTCCCTCAAACTTTGAAAAGTAGTGTGCAGATAATTTGCTGTGGAAGAGCAACAAATGAGTGACATGAATCCAGGGTTGTGGTGATTATTCGCTCTTAGAAGAATCTTTAGTTTGCTGAGGAATAAGATTTTGACAAAAGTTTTCATTAGACTTGACTCCAGTGGGACTGTGAGTAACGTTTTAATATTACATGTGCACACTGTGCTTTATTCCCAACCAGACAGTTAAACATTAATATATCAAAAGATTATAAGTAGCCAGCAATTCTGTGAAATGTGTTCAAAATGTGTTCAAAATCCATTCAAATAGGATTGTTCCTACATACATTTGGAATTAATTCAAGCACATTTTTTGGGTTGTAATTTTGACATACCCAGATTTATGCCATGTAGTTCTTAGATAGCCAGTGCATCTTTGGAGAGGGGGAGGAGAGAGAGAGAGAGAGAGAGAGAGAGAGAGCGAGAGCGCACACACTGTATGCAAACGTTTTGGAATATTTAGATTAAAACTACAGTTAAAAAAAACTACCATCATATTTGGCATAACTAGGTAATTATATTCCAAATTGCAGATAGTTACAGTTATAACATGTTGCATTAGTCAAACCCTACCTCAGGTATTCTGAATATTCATTTTAAGAAAGATTTTAAAAAACTGGAATAAGTCCAGTATGAATAATCAAGGACTGGAAACTAAATTTTATGAGGAGAGACTAAGAGAACAGAGTATGTTTGTTCTTGGGAAAAGAAGACTTCAGTAGTATATATTCAAGTGCATATAATATTCTCAGATATCTAAATGGGCATCATACTGAAGTTTTTTCTTCACAGTAAGAGCAGTTCAGAAGTAAAACCAGTTACCAAAGAAAGTGGGGAATTCCCCTTCATAAGAAGCAGAAGTTGGACAACCATTTATTGTGTATGCTTTAAATTGGATTTCTGTGCTGAGCAAAAAAACATCTCAGTGGTTAAAATGGTTCCAGCTCTAGGATTTTATAAAGATTTTATGGTAAATTAATGCTTTGAACTTTATCTAAATAAAGCTACTTATGTTTTGAAAACTGATTTTGAATATAGGAATACAGTTTACGTAAAGTCTTAATATAAGTAATTTCTGTCATTGCTTACATTTTCTCCATTTCTCCATTAATTTATATAATAATAAATTCTCCATTAACCTAGGGACAGTGACTCAAAACAGTGCCATGTTTTGATAATTCATGGATCTGAATCTTATATAATGGTACAATGTTGTATTTTCAAGCTTCAGGCAGGCCAAACAATGACTCCTTCCTTGTATTAATAATTGGGATTTCTGATCACAGGCTGAACAATATAAATGCTGAATGAAACATTTCCATTAGGCTGGATATTTTGATCTGGAAAAATAATCAGATTCATTATTATTGGTGGTTACTCATATGAGTACAAAAACATGTTTTCCTTCATTGAAAAAAAGTTTCATCTGATGAAAAGACATGTTTTCTGATATAACTATAGAAGTTCTGTTGGATTAAAAAAAATAAGAAATAAAGCTAAAAACTATAATGTACCTGGCTGTGACCACAGTATCAGAGAATGTAAGTGATAACAGGGCTAAATGTGAGTAGCATATCCATTATAGGTACAGAATAATTTCAGTAGTGCATTATTCTGTATTAAAGCTGCTTAGTTGAATAAAATTGTATAAATGATAAAATAATTCCTTTCATAAGCACTAAAATTTATAATCCTGAAGCATACAAACTGTGAACAAAGTTTTTCTTTTTCAACAAATTAACTAGTATATTCTAAAACCATGCTTAATTATATATCCAAAAGCTACTTCATCTTACTGAGGAAGATGTTTAATTTGTACTGCCATTTGAGAAGAAATAGAAAATAAATCATACACTGATTATTATTTTTTAAAAATCCAGAATAAACTATCTACAATAATCAAACATGGCTGAAATCATTCACATTAGTTGATACTTGATGCTTTTATTTCCCATTGGCCTCATGCAAGATGTATCTGACAATAGTTACATGATTTGCATGGATATAATTTATTTGTAGTTAAGATGGTTAAAGACTAGATGTGTAAGAGAATATAATGTAAGAACAATATCCAGTATGAGAAGAATAGAAGATAGAAACTTCCTGTTTGGCAGAAAAGGGACTATTAATGGTGCAAGCCAGTTTTCTCTAACCTAGTACCCTCAAATGTGTTGCAACTCTTAGAATTCCCTGTCAACATGGCTAGAGAATTATGGACTTTTCTGGTACTTTAGGAAGGTGCCAAATTGGTCAAGACTGACATAGGCAAAAGAGCATAATTGAGACAATGAATTTTCTGTGGCTTGATAACCTATATAAACATGTAAATAATTGAATCTTTAGAGTTTACATTTCATCTTCATAGCTTTGTTAACTTAAAATTATGTGTTTCTTAGATGAATGTTATTCTGTTACTTTGACCTTACAAAATCTCACCATCAGATTTTAAATTTAAGTCATAAAACATCAAGTTTAGGAACATTTCCTTGACTTAAGAGGTTATCATCATCTGGTCCCACCTTTCTTCCTAGAAGACAGAACTATCCCCATGGCTGTGAGTACAGTGAAGAAAACATATCCTCTGCCATTATTACAGTTGTGTGGATGGATTGTTAATGCTTTCCTGTACTGTGTAGCAGCTTCATGGTCATAATGCTAAACAGGAGAAGCTGGAGCAGTCAGCAACTTGCTTCATTTGCACATAAAGTCACTTAGAATCATGGGGTTATAAGGGACCTTGGAGGTCTTCTAATCCAACCCTTTGCCCAGGGCAGGGATCCTCAGAAACATATGAAACAAATGTTCAACTTTTGTTTGAAAACCTCCAGTGATGGAATACCCATGAGTCCAGGAGGTTTTCCTCTAGTATTTGAGATTGACATAGATTTGGTTCCCTTAATTCTTAGGAATTGGATGAGGGGACTTAGTAGTTTGTTTGGATCTATCAGAACCTTTTGATTCATTAGCTTTGATGTCCTTGTAGACTGCTTGTCTGATTTAGGTTTGGAATGCTGTATTAACAGTAGTTTTGGTCTTACTCTTGGACCATGTTCACAAGGTGGAGTTAAGGGACAATTGTTGAACACCATGATTAAGATTAATCCATAGATTTCTCTCTGTAAGGACTAATCATTTCTTTGCTTTTCAGATAAGAAAAAGTAATGTGAATATTGAAATTATTGGAAAGCAGAATTCAGAAGTATAGAGTGAAGTAACCCCAGTATACTAGGACTTATTCTTCTAAAGGCCTGCTTGAGGATAGGAGTTTGCTCTGTTCTGGAAAACATTATATTCCACTTTAAAAAAAAAAAAAACTGAATTCATATTCTAGGAATACATCTTATACTGTTCTGTTCCCTAATTTCTTTAGGTGGAATAATAGCAAGAAATTTATTTGCATAATTATATTTAATAAATTAGATTTGGAAACAAATATACAAGCGTGCCTAGATTTATTGCAGTGTGCTTATATGAAGTGCTACTCTTAAACAATATCCAAAAGTTTACATAAGTACATGATCTCACAGCTAGGCTAATAGTGCATGGTATCAGAATTATCTAATAGTGAAAATAGGGGTATGCTGTTCTTTGTATCAGAAGCAAAAAAAAGCATGGGCGCACGTATCATACCTGTCAATATCCCCTTAAAGAACCCACATTTTTTCTTGGCTCACACAGCTGCTTAACCAACCCTACAAAAATATGAATTTGAATTAAGGAGTGCTGACAGCACACTTATGCCTACTCCAAGACACTTCGTCACACCCTGTTGGCACCTCCTTAACTCAAATGTATGCGGGGAGCGCTCTACCATGTGACCCCAGGAAAAGATACAGGTTCTTTAAGAAGTCTTCATCAGGTTGTACATGCCCATATCCAACCTGAATTAGCTTCAGATACAAAACCCAGCATATCCCTAATTGAAATATTTATACTGATTTTCTGTCTAGTCCCATAAGTTCAGAATGAACAAAAGTTGTTTAGATGCTCAGTGACAGGAATGTTCATGTCCATGGCATTCAGTCCGCAAGAGAATAGTCAGGTCCAGCCCATAGATTGAAGACCCGAGTCTAACAAGATCAAGTGAAATATGAGATCAGAGTATACAGTAAGAAAGAGTCAAGGAGTTTAGGAAAGCTGTTTCAGGATATCACATACTAACTTAATCATGTTGCAATTTCCAATAACCTGGCTAATCTCCAGTGTGATTGCTTGTGCTCTAGGCAGCTGAGCCTGTATTTCTGCAGATTTCTAGCACTCAAGCAAAAAGCTATTTATAGAACCTGGTCTTATAATCAAACGTTCCATGTCATTCTTTTCTTCGGCATGCTCATGGACTTGTTTTTGGATCAGAAATCAGAATGGTGGATCTGTGGAGCTGGAAGAAATTAAAAACTATCCAAGCTCCATTCAAGCATTTAAGTCCCAAGGCAGCAGAAGTTCACAGGTTCAGTTGTCTTATTTTCTAATATCATCTTCTAATAGAAATCTCCTAATCTGACAATGACATTGTCAGGCTTAATTCAAGTTGTTGGTTGTAACCATTAAAACCTTAAGTTGTTGAAAGCTATACCTTGCTATCAAAGGGACTGCCTATCTCATTATAATCCAGTTTGATTATTAAGATACATCAAAGTCTGAGGATGCTGTCATTGCAAGACCTACTTATTGGCATGTGGGAAATTTCAGTGTTGTTTCTAAAGTTAGAATATACTCAGTTACAATTAGTTTTTGCTAGTTTTTTTAAGAAGTGTTGAGACATGTCTCTTTAACGTGGCCTTTTAAATTACTTTCTCTGCTTTATTATTTTAGGATAGTATTTGTTATATGCTACTTTGCTCTCTTAGTAAAAAGGTGACATAAATATATTAATTACAGTACTTTTATTCATAGGTGCTATTAGTAAGCAGTAGCCGGTATCCAGATCAGTGGATTGTTCCAGGTGGAGGAATGGAACCTGAAGAAGAACCAGGTGGTGCTGCTGTCAGAGAAGTCTATGAAGAGGTAAAATGATTCAGAACTGTCATTTTGAAATAATGTGTGACTGTTCTTTCAGGATTTTTTAAATTCATTCCTTCTGGTATATAAGGTAGGAAGGACTCATACTTCACATACATCACAATCTAGAAAGAATCATTCCTACATTCCTTTTCCAGCCAATAAGTATACTAGAACAGTTATATGCTAGACTCATCTGAAGGAAAATACCATAGTGCTACTAGATAGATGTATAATATCCCTTTATGATAGAACCAGTGGATTTTGAAAGATCAAGAAGCCAAAATTATGCTTCTTCTCAATAATACCTTGATTCTTGTCAAGTATTTTCTTGCAGAACAAAACTGGTTACTTTTTAAGTCTGCTAAATTTCTGCATACTCTTATTAGTTACATGCTTCCTACATATAAGTCCTATGAGAGTAATCAAACAGAAGCTTTGTTGGAAACTTCTATGTTTAAATTGAACCTAACTGCTAGAATTTCACAGTGGGGATGGTTCCCCTCCCCACGTGAAACATACCCTCCTATAAGCTACATTGTAGGAATACAAGGATTGTTTATAGATATTTTTTTTAAAAAAAGAAATCTGATTATCTTATTCGTTGCAGGCTGGAGTAAAAGGAAAACTTGGCAGATTATTGGGAATATTTGAGGTGAGCCTTTTAAAATTTTATTGGAAATATATTCTAGAAAATTAGTGTGTAGTTCTGCTTATGAGGGACAGGAGGAAACATCTAAAATTACTTGAATGAAGAATTGATAATTTAAATGATTGTTGGATTTCTTAAAGATCAGATTTAGTAATGGAACAATATTATAATACAAAAATGAGGAAAGGAGAAGATAATCTATGGGATACTACTTTTTTCCAGTCCACAAAAATATGTTATTTATGAAATTCATTCAGGCTAAAATTATTACTACCGCCAAGAATTATTTTCCATTGAAAGCAATGAGATTAAGGAGGCACTCTGCTAAACACTTGGGTAAAGTAGACATGGCTGTTAGACTTGCAAAGCAGTCCCAGGTTGTCCATGCTTGTATGCATCCATGACTGCTTTGTTTTGCCCACAGTCCCAGTGGAAGTGTTTAGTATAGACACACATACCCACAAATGGGGATAGCTTTCAAAGCAGAATACAGTTGCTTTAGCTCTTCAAGGAAAGGGGTTTCCACTTGTGCTAACACATTTGTGAAGAGCCCACTGAATGCTTTTCTGCGAAAGGCTTATGCAACTTAAGATAATTAACTTTTGTCCAATTGTTGGGCAAAGCATGTTCTGTTAAATCCCATAATCCATTGTTGCAAATTCAATAAATGCTAATAGATGAAGTTCAGTCCTGTTTGTAGCATTTATATTTCTCTTGCCAAGCAAACTCATTCTAGACTTCTATAATATTCATAATATTATACATTTTGGGTTTTTTTCTAGTTTATTACCTTGTTTCTATAATGACTGATAACCATTAATAACAGCCATACTGTACTGTATGTACATTTTGTTGTATATATGTACATACTCATCACACTAGTCCCTTTGGGGTTAGGGTAAGCAGTATTATACAAAGGGGCAGAAGAGGAAGAAGAAATAGTAAACAAAATAAATTGAAGATGTAACATAAGAAAAAAGAACAGGAAATATAGCTAAATCCAGTATACACCTATACCATTCAGTATACCTCTCTGTATATTTATGTAATTGTAAATTGTCTGTTTCTACCATATCCCTACAATGTTTCATATTGTCTTTTGTTCTTTATACTTCTCAGTTCTCTTTTTGAGGATCTCATTAACTCCATGCAACTATGACTTTCTCAGTACTCCCCTTCTTCTCAACCCCTTCACCCTTTGTTAATAGATATATTTTGCACTTCACTCCTGGATCATTCCCTCTGTGTGACCAAATGTGTACTGTGTGACCAAATGTGTACTGTGTGACCAGTACATCAACATACTTCTTTCATACTGGTCACACACTTTTATATTCAGAACATTAATTTTGCATCTTTTCATTCTTGACCCTATCTTTTCCTTGTTTTACTACACATGTTGCTTAAGTACTTCATTTACACAGCATTCAACTTACTTGTATGTTTCTCCAGATATACCCAATGTTCACTTCCATATAACAAAGTGGACAAAAGCATGCTGTTATATGCACTAGTTTTTGCTGGTTCTGCTTCTTTTGACAAATATTCATTCCTTGCATCAAATCACATACCATCCATTGCCTTTCTGTCAGCATTTATGTTAAATGCTATATTCATGTACCCAACCAATACACTTCTAACATCACACACATCCTTTATACATTTGTCTATAAAAACATTAAAGTGTCAGGTTTTCATCACACATCCTTGTCTTACTCCCTGCTATGCCTATTTACTTTATCATATCCTCACATTCATACAGTTCTCAGTTACCTTCTCAAGAGCAAATATATGATATGCATACCATATGCCCAACATAAAGTTGCAATACACTGGTCAGATTGTCCTTATTCTTCCCTCCTTTACCCTTTCAGCTAGAATTCTGCCAAGCACACTTGACAAATTAATCTTACTGTAGTTTTTGCATTTGCATTTGTTACTTTTCTTTTGGAAGAATGCCATTCTTTCTCCTTATACAGGTAGTCCTCACTTAACAATTATTCATTTAACAATGGTTCAAAGTTACGATGGTCTCAGAAAAAGTGCTTTGCAACTTGTACTTACACTTATAACCATTGCACCAGCTCCCTACGGTCATGTAATTGAGATTTGTGACCTTTTTTACAACGGACATTAAGCAAATCATGTGGTCATTAAGTGAATTGCTGTAAAAACTGTCCATTGGTGAAGTTGGATTTGTTTAACCACATGATTCACTTAACTACCATGTGATTCACTTAATGATGGTCATAAAAATGGTTGTAAAATCGGGTCTGGTCCCCATGGTGACTCGTTTAATGACTGCCCTTCTTAATGACCAATTTTCTGGTCCCTATTGTGCTCATTAAGTGAGAACTACCTGTACAATAATCAGGCACAGGTGTAATTTTCACAACCTAATAAACGAGCAACACAGTTATTCCATAAGCAAATCACATCTGTGTTTTAACACTTCTTTATTACACGATATCTGCAGCCTTAGAATATTTTGACTTTTTCACAGTGTTTATGACATATTTTTCATAACCTTTTTTCTGGACATTAATATTTATAGCATTTACTTCAATTCCACTATCACTATCATTCCCATACAAATCTCTAAAATAATTCATTTCAGCATCCCTCAGTTCATTTTAATCTCAAATCATTTCATCACTTTTATTTTTAACTATTTCTTTTCTTTATACAGGACACATACTTTTTCTTTCAACAGTCATTCACTCTGTTTTTTTTCTTTTTCACTTCTTCCCATATCTGGGTTGTTTTTGTTTTGTTTTGTTTTTTTCAAATAAAAGTCTGTCCCACATTCAGACTTTTCCCTAAGCAAATATTGTCCAAAAAATCCCCTTTCTCTTTCATTCTGGAGCCTCTAAATGGCCCATTTTTAATGCTTTTGTCTTCCCACCTATCCATTCAACTCATCCAATTAATTTGCCCCCCACCCCATCATATTCATTCAGAACATTACACAATTTCCCCAGAATGTTACACAAAACCCATCATTGGCTCTTCCATTGTGACTATTCATTGGGGCATAACTTGTACTTAACACCAGCCTGTGGATTTGTTTTTGTATATATACCAGATAATATATGTAACACCAGTTCATACTTTGACATAAATCTCAACCCTCTCATTCATAATGAAACCTATGCCATCACCTCCCAGCATGTGCTCATGAACTCTGCTCCACACAGATGGGCCCCTATCATTCAGATTTATTCCTTCCATTTCTTTTAGTTTCATAAAAATTCAACATATCTATTTTTCATTTGCTAATTCACACTGTTTAACATTTATTTCTCTTACATTTCCAGTCACAGTCTTCTATGGTTTTCACCAGAGGGGCCCATAAATATTGTAGTAAGTGTAGATTAGGTTACCGGCCTTGATCATACTTGTGCCACATCCAGCACACATTGCTAAAATTAAGGACAGTATCACACAGTTCTAGCACATTTTAGTAGTATGCAACAAGTTTAGCCTCAACTCAGTTTTTCCCCAAGCGTGCTCATGCTGTTCTTCAAAAGCTTGGCATTCTGATCATACCATAACCTGCATCCTACCAGCTAGAAGGTACATACCGTACAGTATCCTGACAAATTCAGAATCATTTTGTTTTTATGGATTTTTGCTAATTCATTAATGTCAACCACCTTGAGTACTGTTTTACCATGGAGAAATGGGATGTAATTAATGTTAATACATCTCTGATACTGCAAATGTGAATTAAAATATTTGTTATTTTCTTTCATACTAAAGCAGAATCAAGACCGGAAGCATAGGACTTATGTTTATGTTCTTACAGTGACTGAAATCCTGGAAGACTGGGAAGATTCAGTAAATATAGGCAAGCCTTTTTCTGCCTTATAATATGCTAACCTTTTATAACAATGAATACAGAATGTTATTTTTAGGAAACATTCACTCAAGTTACAATATCATGTCATTTAAGTTTTAGGCACAATTTCAAATGTTCAAAGTGAACCAAGAAATTTAACACTAAATTGTTTTATTTATATATATATGTGTGTGGGTGTGTATGTATAGGATGTCTCTAATAGCTGTGATGTATGTTGGAGGTACAAAATTCCTGCTCTACAAGATAATCACTTATAATAGAAATTCATTGTAATAATCAGAAGATTATATTTTAATGAACTAGAACCAAGAATAAAGAGGAGAAAGGAATACTCAATTTGCATTAAAAATAGGCCCAACTGTTAGTTTTTCACATTAAGAAACTATGTTTATACCTCCAGATGCTAAAGCTCCTTATTTATCATTAAGATCCTAAGATGTACAAAATAATTTCATATACAGAGATGAAGATCTTGGCTGCCTGCAAGAGTAACCTTGTTTCTTACAGTTGTTACAAGCTTTTCTTACTTATATATATTAATAAGCATAGAAAAATACTGTTAAAAAGTTCTTGTGGGGTGAAACTTGTTTATAAATTATCTAGATTTAGAGGCAAACAATGAACTGGCCAAATTTGCTGATGATGCTAAGTTGTTTAAAATAAAAAGGGAATTGTGTAGTACTCCAAAGGATTTCTTCAAACGTAGTGAATGGGTCTCTGAATGACATAGATCAGCACTCACTTGCAAAGTGATACCTACAGTATTGGCGTAAAAACTCACTAGAATCATCAGGAAAAGAATAGAACACTGAAAGAGGTTTTTTAAAAAGCAATGATAAAAGTGTATGTTTTGACAGAGGGTCAGGGAAGAAGACTTGAAAACAATATGGTCAAGTTTTCTTAGAGTTCTGTAGATGATATAATTTTCCAGGCTTCCCCCCCCCCCACCTTCTTGTTGATGATTCATAATAGCATTGTATAGGTATCAAATATTTGTTATGGTCATAGACCAGCATATATACAACTTTGTTAATTTATTATAATATATACATACAATATAATTCTGCTAGGTGGTTCTTAATTGAATCTGGCCAGAGGGTTAGGATTTACTATATTGGCCAGTCATTTGGCAAAAAGTTATGCCTTTTACTGCTATCTTAGGTAATTTCTTTATTAAAGCACATTAGACATTCAGAACATTACCTGGGAATGAAAGGGTGACATGATAGAAATTAAAAAATCACAAAGGGACAGAAGTTTTTCTCTTCAATATCAGAACTAATCATCTATTAAAACTAAATGCAGGGAGATTAATGATAATAGGAAACACATATTTATACAACATACAGTTAAAATACAGAATTCAGTCATTTTATGGCTATCAGCAATCAGCATATTTTAAAAGGGACTAAATAGGATTGGGTGATCAATGGCTATTCATCTTGAGGCCTGTATTATCTCCTGAGTCATACAGAATATAAACCTGTTAGGGAATATGGAAAGGGCTAGCTATCTCGTATGCATGTTTGTTTAGCTTTTTGGAGGCATTTTTTGGGTCACCATGTTCTGTGGAATACCAGGCTATATTAGCCTTTGGTCTCACCCAGAAAGCATTTTAAGAACGAATCTGAGATTTTTGGAGTGTCTGAATCATATTTTCATGTGCAGCATTGTTAAATAATGAAAACAAGGAACTTCAGAAGTTATAATACTAGTGATAAAAATGTTAAGCTTCAAGCAAGCTAGACCTTAAAATATTATCTTTCTGTCCTCACAGGAAGGAAGAGGGAATGGTTTAAAGTTGAGGATGCAATCAAGGTCCTTCAGTGTCACAAGCCTGTGCATGCAGAATATTTGGAAAAATTGAAACTTGGGTGTCCATCTACCAATGGAAATTCTGTAGTTTCTTCCCATCCTGATAACAATTCTCTGTATGTTACTTCAGCACAAACTTCTGGGCTACCTTCTACTATAAGATAAATTCTGAATTACTTTTTCATGTATTTCCATCACAAGTGGAAATGTATTAGTGATCCTGTACTATGTGTATTGTAATCCAGATCTTGAGTCCATGAATACTTTATGTTCAATCTTACATCTTTTCTTTTTTTAGCAATGTATTTTGGCAAATCAAAGCCATGCAGGGATTTTTAAAGATGCCTTAAATGGTCCTCTTTAGTTTTTAAGCATAGTACTTAATTTGAAGAGTGAATTTATCACTTGACATTTGAGTTTGACTTAATTCTGTTTCTTAAACTTTCTAAAAATCAAATAGTTATATTGCTTTATTCTATTCATTGTTATTTCCCAACATCAAAATTAAATTAGCTGGAGGAATTAAAAGGCAATGAAACCAACAAAGTGCCTTCAGTGTTAAACTTCCTCCTTTAAAATGTTTTACATAAAAGTCATATTCAGAGCATATTAATGCTGTCTTAACTTTTATCAGTTCTTCATGTTGCTCTTGTTAAAAATTTTGGCCAAATAGGTAGATATCACAAAATGCAATTTTTTTCATTTTTTGCTGCTTCTTGCCAAAGTTAGCACTCACTTTCTTTGCAGTTCCAGCAGGTTTAATTAATTACTGGAGACCATTCCAACTTTTTCCAGTCACTTTATAGATTATGTAAATCATATTATTTGGAAGATAACTGTTTTGATGATTTTTTTTTTTTAAAAGGGGGCAAACAGGAGATATCTAGATATCAAAATGTTTTCATATCTGCCTCTAAAACATGCATGTTTTTACTCTCAGTTGTACAAGTTTTAATTTCACCATTTTAAAAAAGCATCTACACTAATTTCCATTTTTCTGTAAAGACAAAAGTTTTGGTTGAGGTAAACAACTACTTCTGTTGTAAAAACTTATTTCTCATTCTTTCTATGTAACATAAACTCACTGTAAATAATTCAACAGATGTAAAGTATAAAGTGGAAAGTAAATGTAATGTAAATACTACTGTTCACCCATTTGGGTTGCCACCTATGACATTCATAGTGACATAGCAAGCAGGAATGTCAATAGCTCAATTTCTTTAATAGCTATATCTTCACTAACAGATTTTCTGTTTATCACACAGCTGTTAAAGGGACAATAGTCATGTCTGAAAACAGGTGGGGACTCTATACACTATGTAAAAAGGCTGCTATGAATTAACCACTTGCTGTTACAATTTTTTAAAAAAACTTAGTGTCATAACTTCCTCTACAAAGATGGAAATAATAATAATGTGCCATATGAATGAATTTAAACAAGAAACACCTGTAAAGTGTTTGAACAGTTGTGAGTTTTCATTTAAGAACAACCTTAGTAGTAGTAATAGGACATTGGTATGAACATCTGCCATGGGTTAGAACCTCAAAATGTTAGCTTAGATGATTGTGGGGAATCATAGGGCATGATCAAAAAGCCTTATATAAAGTCAAAATGAGAATACAGACTTGATACAACACCCTTATGCTAATTGGACTGGGGGAGTGGTTGGTTATAAGTAACACACAATTGTAATATACAATCATAAGTTGGTTCTTCAGGCCCATGCTTCTGTTCATTATTCAGTAGTTTACTGACCATATGGTTGTAAAGGTGAGAAAATGTCATAGTGATGAACAGAACAGCAAGCTCAGTCTGTAGTTCTTAACGATTTCTTTCCTCTCAACATTTACTTTTGGAACATAAACTAATCCAAGCTAATAGAAACTGAATATTAGTAATGCATGATTATTTTGCTTTCTGCCATTATATACTATGTAAAAATGTACAGTTTATGCTAACTAAATCAAAGGCAAGCGCTTATAAATACTTCAGGCTGCCGTGCCACATTGTTAGACCGATGTACAGATCTCTTCAGCCTATGCAATTTAAAATAATTACACCTTCCTTAGATTTCTGACATCTCTCTTGCAACATGATACACAGGAATAAAAAATATCCATTGTTCAGTTTCCTGAATTTACAAGTTTATTGATAAAAGTTAACATACTTTAATTCTATAGTTTGTAGGCTGTGCAGTGCTTTGAAATTGGTTTAGGAAAAAAATATGGCTGCCAGACAAGTGCTCAGTTTGCATTCCAAAGCACCTCTTCTAAACTGAATCCAAAGAAACCCATAGCTGTAATAATTTGCAGGTATAGGCTGGGCAATAGGCACGTCAAATATAATAGCAAAGACTCTTGCCAAGATAAAACATTTTATAATTAATGAAAGGGGCATGGTTTCCTATAAAATGTCAAAGCATTCAAGGTATATTTCAAATAGTGAAATATTCTTGTAGAACTAGGATTTAGAACAAAACTTACTCTTTAGTGATCTGCAGCTGATCACTAAACTAAACCTACAGCTGGTTTCCCAGAGAGAAGAATGGAAATTGATTTGGATCTTCATATACTAGAAGTTTGTTATATAGAGAACAGGTACCTGGGAACATGTCTTATAAGCAGTGCAAGAGGTGACAGAAACAAAAATTAAAATCTATGTGTACTGCAAGCTACCCAGACCTATTATTAAAATGTTTGAAACAATTGTTCAACATGCTTCTGAAAGTACACACACACAAAAAAGGAAAACTACATGATTCAAGTTGTAAACATTTTGAATAGAGCATGGCTTTCTTTTAAAGACTAATGTAAGAATTTTGACTTTTTATATCCAAAAGAAACCTCTAATAAAAAAGAAACAATTTTCAAAGACTGCTGTTCCTTTTTACAAAGTTTAGTGTCATAATTAAGCAGTGCTTCACCTGGTCTAAAAGCCACAAACTGCCATAATAGAAGGCAGGTTCAACAGCTGGTTGGCTGGCCCTGTTTATTCACATTAAGTTCTAATCAAATTCTCTTCTACCAAAAGCGCTTCTCATTGTAGACTTTGTGAGAGCCATGTTGGTCTATGCTGACAAAATATCAGGAGCCTGGTAACCACTTTTCCAAGGACTAATAAGTTTTATTAAAAGGCATAAGCTTTCATGAGCTGCAGTTTACTTCCCCACATGCCCTTGAAGGGAGTGTGGCAATAATCTTTGTAATCTCTGTAGTATGTAGACTCTAAAGGGTTCTTGACTTCCTGCCCTTTAAGAATGATAACCTGTTGTTTGCACTTGCTTAAAAAACTATATCATTTTCTTGTTAAGTTCAGAGATTGCCAGTTGGAAAAGTTGCTACCAGGCTCCTGATACTATTCGACCAAAACTTGATTATTTTTATTACCATATTAGCTAAAAAAATTCTATGCTTCTAGCTGTGGAGAAGGTACCAAAGCAAAGTAATAGCATATATGCCTATTCTTTATTGCCTACAGAATGTCCAAGGCTCAGTCTACAGCACTTGCAGTTTGATCAGACACTGAGGAAGATGTCTGTTGTTGATCTGGAGAGTTATGCTGATTAATAATGGACAGTGTGCAATGCTTGGGATTTGATTCAACACACATTTTGGTATGCAGTCATCTCTTTTCTTCCAGGACCACGTGCATATCAGGAGGAGGTTTCTTCTGCAGTCAATCTTTGAAAAGAGCACAACTGCCTACAAGAAAAACACTCGCCCTCACAGCTCAGAGGGACTCCCATTCAGGTCTGCTGTTTCAGGTTGTGCCAGCACTGATTTCCCTCATTGTGGGCTTCCATAGTGTTCATCCTCAGTCTTGTCTTCCTCCTTACTCCCACCATAACAATGGCAGGAGGAAGTATAAAGAAAGTCAGAATCACTGTGCAAAAGCAAGGAGGCAGGGCAGCATGTTCAAGCACCAGTAAAGCCCATGCAACAGTCTCTATAATGGCAGCTGGATCAGGCACAGCCTCAGCAGCAAACTAATTTGCTCCAGTCAAAGTGATCAGGAAGGCTTCCCTAAGCCTCTGGGCTTGTAAGGGAAAGAGAAACCAAGATATTCAAGAACCAGCTATTTTGGTGAATTTGGATTTGCCTTGATTTTTGACCCTTTTCTCTGGAAAGAAACATCCAGGCCCTAATAAGTTCTGAGGAGGACAGGGATCTGAATCTGACGCATCTCCAACCACCTACAGAACAGACTTTAAAGCAATGTTATATCAGTACCACTGGGCAAAGGGACAATAGTCCTCAAGCTGAACAGGCAACTACAATGATGATTTCTATACTACCTCTTAAGTAACTTCAAAAGTATTTGCTTCTGAGTCAAGAGTCTCTTTTCCACAATTCTTCACCAATCTCATCATTAAGGAATAAAAGGATCCTGCAAAGCTCTTGCAACAAATGAGACAAACAATCCTGCAAGAATCTACCTACTCTGGCCAGCAAGTTGTATCTCCTTGCAAAAAAATAGCTGTGCTGGCCACAGACAAACCTAGATCAGTATTCTCTAAGTACTGGAGGTGGTCTTCCTCAGATTCAGACAAATCACCAGGCCAATGGTGCTGAGAATTCTGTATAATGCAAGCAGTAATGCAAATACAATAGCAAATTCAAATATGACCAAAATCTCAGTCCTCTGGACTTGAGCCTTACTTCTAGAGATACCAGCAGAGGCAAGATACCTGAAAGAGGACTGAAACAAGCTTGTGAGCATCTCAGAATTCTTGTACCTCACCCATGGCCAACCTCCAGTTTGTTGCAAGAGCCAACATGGCTTCAGATGTAGAAATGTGTTGGAGGTTATGGCTCAAGTATTGGGAAGTAGTCAACTTCACATCCAAAGAAAACCTTGCATGTAACCCATTCCTGTAAGGAAAGCTGTTTGGCGATTCCCTGATACCAATGGTGATCAAATTTAGGGATCAGAAGAAGTCACTGCACATAGCCCAAAATAAATATTAATCCAGATCAAGGAAGAAATCCTTATTCAGCCTTTGACATCTTTGTTTTCTCCAGGGAATAAACAAATTAGCTTTTACTGGTCCTCCAAACAAGAAGCCTCAAGACAACCCATGTTCTAGACTTAACAGTGCAAACTTAAAGAAAATGAAATTTTGATTCACTTGGTAGAGCAGCTCCACTGATTGATGGATGCTAGTGACAATCAAACTGGGCCCTAGAATACTAGAAAAAACCAAAAGGTAAGTTCCTATCATTTAGAAATAAAGACAGACATCAAGGAATGATATAGACACTACCAAACATAGGTACCACACACCAGATGCTATAGGAGGAACTCTTTTCATGAGTCTTCCCCACAAGTGAACTTCAGAACCTGAAATTGTACCTGTAGTCTGGATGCACAAAGAAGCAAAAACCTTGTCACAAGAACAAAAAAAAATATGGAGAATGGCAGTAGGAACCACTATAGCTGATGTAAATGAAAACAGATTCACAACACCATGTCTGTGCCTATATCTTGGTCTTGGATGTGAAGACGGCAGGCACAGACATGGTGCCATGAGTCTGTTTTCATTCACATCAGCTACAGTGGTTCCTACTGCTATTCCAGAAGTATATATCTAACAGAATGCATAAATGATTGAAAATTCTGGAGGAAGTGAAGCAGCTCCTATGCTGATGACTGAAACTTGCAAACATATCAAAAGTCATCTCAAGAAGTAATCAAAAATACAAATCATCATGCAGTCCATCTCCAGAACAGGTTGGTACAGGGATCATGACCTCAACAGGGATCTATACATGTTTCAAAGATGGGTAGTCCTACAGATTCAAGCTATGATACCAAGATGACCTGACAATCCATAATAAATCATAAAACTTTTTTAAAAAATCTGCCCTAACTTTGCAGTTTTTGTATAGCAGATATGTGCAAGCTAATAATGCACAGGGTACTTAGAACATACTTGAAGTATGCTCTAGAAACCAGAAAGCCAAATTATTTGTGTTATAAAAGTCAGAGATCAAGATAAGCATGTTTTACACTCCATCATTAGCAGCATGATAAGCATACTTTTCACTGGCACACAGAAACAAACCTATTCATAAAGATATCACCATCCATTTGAGAGCCTGCAACATCAACAGCACTAAAGCATGAGCCTTGTTAATGGATGTTTGTAGGACAGCTATGTGGACTAGTCCTTCCAGGCTGCCAGTCACTACTAAGTGAAATGGCTTTCATTAACTGCACTGTTTGGCCAGTCTTGCAGAGTGCTGTAAAGAATTATAAGGAATAATAATGTAATACATCCCTCTAATGTCAGCTTCACTTACCAGTGATCAAGAACTTGGACTTACTGTGAAGAACTGTCCTGCTCACCAGATTATGGACTCAAGTGGACCACCCAGTTAAATAGGAAGGTCCCCAGGTAAAGAAGGAAAGTTTTATGTTTATAATTAATAATTATGTTTACCAGCTATCCAAAAGAAACTGAGTCTCTATGGGTTTTCCAACGATGCCATTTTGATTTTAGAGTTTGACCGAGCCAGGTCACTACTAAGG